TTGATTGTGAAAAGTAACGATTTGTAACAAAATGTAACAATGGTAAATGCTTAAGAAATTAACGAGTACAGAAACATGCCATTATTAGATTTCATTAACCTATTTCATATGTATTTGACTAATCTCACATGTGAACTTAGTTATTAATCTTTATATTGATGTATCACTCTTCAACACCGCTTATGTCTAACCGTTGTTGCGGATTTTACCGTATTGTTTAATTGATGGTCTCTCAACCTATTAAACAATATAATGACATTAAGACTTCATACAAGTGAGTATCAAACTCAAAATCTATATCTAGACTTTGGTCTTTGATGTATGATGATCTTAGGACATGACTTGAAAGATATTTCTCAATAACGATTCAAACCGTAAAATTAACATGAAACAGAGATAACATATATATTTATTTATAACTAGTTCTCATAACAAAGATAAAAATAAATACATACGAGTACGGTTAATTACATTCAATCTAGACACAAGAGATTTAGCTATATTGAACACTCCAAAATCTACATTTCTCTATTTTATTGATTATTTGTGAAATTGCAAAAATAAATTAGACGATAAAACTAAAACTCATCCAAAGGAAAGAGGTGGGGAATAGGTATAAGGGAAATGTATGTTTTATATATGTTTACACAATCTTTTATATTTAAATAATATTTTAGATTGAAACAACATAGAAATATTTAAATGAGTTTTTATTAAATCAAAACAAGATTTCAAAATTCATATCTTCATGTTTTTTAGTTAGTAAAGAGTTTCCATCAATACTAATATTGATGCATTTGATATATTTTTCCTTATAATTAAATTAAGAATATAAATATATTTCAAGAGCCTTCATTTTCTTATCCATATATACAAAAAGAAGAAATACAAGAAAAGAAATGAAATACCAGAATAATAATTAATGTTAATGATGTTTCTCAAATAAATTGAAAGTAAAGTATGATATAATTTATAATTTATGTATAAAGTAATGAAATGTTACAAAGTTTTATGAAATTATTTTAAAACAATTGTTATTTGATAGATAATAATTATACAATATATAAATTTAATAAGGTATAATTAAAACCATTTTGTATTCTAACAGGTATATTATTGGTTCTCTCATATGCATTATTACTATTATACATTTATACATTTAGTTGTAATAGTGTTATTTTTATTGAAATGCATTATTATTATTATAAAAGTCATATTTAATTCATGAGAAAGAATGAAAAACAATTTTGTAAGAATTAACTAATATTTAAAATTAGTTTTTAACATCTATAATCACTACGCCAAAAATGATTTTTTGTATCACCTAATTTAATAGCACTTTTAAAAAAAATGCTATTAAAATGGAAAAAACACATTTATAATAGCACTTTTTAATCGGGCGCTATTATATAATACAAACTATGTAATTATGATAGCACTTTGTACCAGAACGCTATTATTAAACTTCTTTAAGATAGCATTTTGTATAAAACGCTATTATTTGACTACCTATATAATAGCATTTATTAAAAAGCGCTATGTTATATATAATAATGAATTAATTAATTAATTGATAAAAAAAAAAAACAAAACACATTTTCAGAAAATTGGGACCATCTTATATTCATCTAGTCTGGCATTCGGCCCAATTTCCAGTTCTAGAATCTTCTAGGTTTTCAGTTAACATTTTCTTCATCTGCGAGTTCTTCATTTGTTTGTGTGAAATTTTGTGTAGTTCAATTTCTTTCTTTGTTTTAAGCTCTTTGATTTTGGATAGTGCGCGTCTTTTCGCGCGAAATCTGAAACTGTAATCAATGCCGTTTGCTAATGCAATCGTTTGATTTGTAATTTGTGTTCAGTGAGGAAAGGTAAATGAATATGAAAAAGATGAAAGTTCTGAATGTTCCCGGTGGTGGTGCTGCTTCTGCACTGATGAAATTGGGAGTTATTGGTGGAATTGGTTTGTATGTTGCTGGGAATAGTCTTTACAATGTTGAAGGAGGTCACCGAGCTATTGTTTTCAACCGTCTTGTTAGTGTTAAAGACAAGGTCGTTTTTTTGCTATATGATTGTTTCTTTAGCTTAGATTGATTAATTGAAAGAGTGGTAGTATTGATTTTGTTGCTTCGAATTAGGGTTTCTTTCTGGAAGTTAAATTTGTATCTTGTTTGATATGCAGGTTTATCCTGAAGGGACACATTTTGTTATTCCGTGGTTTGAGAGGTCAGTCATCTATGATGTTCGTTTGCATCCCCATCTAGTCGTGATCTCCAGATGGTAAATTATAAATCTAGTTTTACTTATACTTGCATGTTGTCGTGAGGATATGGTTTTGATAACAAATTCTTAGAACCACTCCTGGAATTGAAATTTCATATCAGTGATTCTTTTATAGTTTTTACATAAACTCTTAAATGACAACTGTTTATTGAAGAAAAAATTGATAGAGTTTCTATCTCAGCATCTCTTTATATTTAAGAGTTTTTGTCATTGTTTAGTTGATTCCCATTTGTAAAAGCTTTGTTGAAGTGTTTTGATCAACTTCTAGAGGACTATTTTGTTTTTGCATAAAATGGCTATTTTGGATATATCATGTTCAAATGGTAAGATTTTTATGATATAATTAAATCCTGTGGTATTTGATTTTTCTTATCGATTGTAGACATTTCAATTGTGTGTTCTTGGCATCGGAACTTAAATGCCTCATCAAAATCTCATATTCTGAGCTACTGGTTTGGTTTGCTTTTCATGTTTAGCCTCTGTATTGGCATCCATACTTTCTCACATAATATATCTGCTAAATTTCCATTCTCCCACTTTCCCAGGGTTGCTTGATGCCTTATTTATACCTCTTATAATTTATTTGGATGACAATGTTAGAAGTTTTAATTATAGGTTGAAGAGATGTTTGGCTTCATGAAACCAATTTCCAGTTCTTCATGTTTATAGACTAGTACACTATAGATGTGGGGGTCAATGGAATTAAAACTATTGACTCTTGATTCTATTTGAAACTATTTGAATGTTAAACACTATTAGTGAGACTGTTGATTCTTTATTTGCACTTTAATTTTGTTATAGGTTCAATGGAATTCCAGAGGTCAACCAATCAAGCATAATAGCAAGACTTTTTCTAGTTTCATTGGTGTCACAGTTCGTCGGTTAGTTCCAATAAGCTTGGACAATTGGAGCGCGAAAAAAAATAAAGAGGCTGTGGGGGTTTATAAATAAAACATTTGGGATGAAATTTAAGTAACACACTAACTTAAGCTAGTTGTAAAATTTTAATTTCGTTAATCTATCCATTTGTATCCGGTAATATTTCTTTTTTCAGTTTCTGCTATCCGTTGATTCTCTGTGTTGTTTGTGAGCGTTATGATGTCTTTGTGTTGACGGATATTCTGGATTTTGAGTAGCTGTAATGAGGGTTTTAGCTTTTGTTAACAAAAGACCACCGATGGCAACAATAGCTAATGGTAGCCCTCCACATTTTTGAACAATTTCTCTGGACATCTCCTCAAGTTCTGTTGGACAGTGCCCTCTAAACGTCTTGTTGCAAAACAGCTCCCATGCTTTGTCTGGAGGCAAACGTTGTAGCTCATGGACATGAACAGGAAAAGATTTCCTAAAATAATCAGCTACATGCATTTTTCTAGTAGTCACAATGATTCTACTTCCTTTGTTATTACTAATTAAGGCATGTTCAATCCCATCAGAAAAATTATCTTTCCAGACATCATCAAATAAAACCAAGTACCTTTTTGACTCAAGGTATTGTCTCACTTGATTAATCAAAGTTTCATCATCCATATTCTGCAGACCCCTTGGAATAGGCTCGTTGCTGTCCTTGCAAAATTTCTTTATCATTTCTGTCAACAGCTCTCTGATGGTGTACGATTGTGAAACAGTGATGAAAGATCTACAATCAAAGTTCTTTTTCACTAGCTGGCTATCAAAAACATGCTTTGCGAGAGTAGTTTTCCCGAGTCCTCCCATGCCAACCACAGCAACCAACATGAGCTCATTGTTTTCCTCCACCAAGCATCTGACCAATTCATCTCGCGCGGACTCAAATCCTACAACTTGAGTCTCTTCAATGAAATACGGAGCCATTCGAGGGTCACCAATTCTAGGAGCTTTAGTCCTTCCTGCTTCATTTTCAGACAGAAACTCGAACCTTGTACTTCTTTCTTTGATTCTACCAAGTGATAACTTGATGTCTTGAATCTCAGAAGCAATCTGGTGATGCGGATTCATGGTTTTGATCAAACCAGGAATCATTTGGAGTGCAGATCTGAATATAGAATGACTGGCCCTCTCTGCCAAAAACATGTTGTAGTAATCAATCACATCTTTTATGCGAAAAGACGCTTCTCTCACCTGCTTCACCCAAGTTTTGACTCCATTGGATCCATCATCATCATCAGCAGCCTTTGTGTCTGCATCCTTGAGGAAGGCTTGGATGCTCTCAAGTTCATCTTTGATATCATTGAAGTCTCTTTCAATCCCTGCTACTGAATTTCTTTCTTCTACTGTATATTGGCTAGTTTCTTTTATTACAAATTGGCCTAGTTCTTGTAAAACAAATGATACTGCAGTTTCTGCCATATCATTTCAATGTTTTCATCAATCAGATTAGCTTTTGCAAGAATATTTTTTAGCAATCAATTAAGTTCATGTAAAGTGCATTGCTTTTGCAAGAATATTTTTTTAGCAATCCAATTAAGTTGACTAATGAATAGTTTAGTCTACATGGTAGTATTTTTCTAATGTAGTGTGGACAGATACATGGTCCAGTTTTAGCTCGGGATTTTTATTTAAAAATGTATCCAAGTCTGCGTTAAAATTTGAACTGGATTATCTCTATCCAATGATTATGGATGTGCCAAATGCATGAATGCTTCAAATTATTGACTGCTGGCAATCTGATTTCCTCTGTGCTGGCTGATCAAGTTATGTTTTGTTAGGAGTTGTTTCGGAACATTTTATGTTTAACATTGATGTTTTCAGCATCCTGCCGCGTCTGGGTTAAGGTTTCTGCCTTTTCTGTATCTGTATCTGTTGTCATTTATTGATTTCTTAAACTACTTCATTTTCATTTCTCTATTTAGTTGTCATAAATTTGTAACTTTCTCGAATCCCCCTTTTTCGCATATGCACAATATTTCAGTAATTATGAATAGTAGTTATAAGGAGCCAAATATAAATATTCAAAAATATTTGTGGATTAATTAGTGGCCGACAGCTTGATAGAAATTTTAATGTTTATTATTTTGTATGCAATTGCTTCTTGTATTGTTACTGGTAGTCATCGGAGACATCACAAGGGAAGTTCCAATTCTTAGTTAGTATGAATTAGTACATATATCATATATGCTTCGATTTTATCCTAAGTGTTACATATCGGAACGGCAGAGGTGTTTTCTCCACTAGGTTTTAAACTTTTAGTGTTACATGTATTTTCTTTGCAGGTCAAAACTATTAAAGTCAGTAATGTTTCCTTGGGAGCATATGAACAAGACCTTAAGGAGTTCTTTTCCTTTTCTGGTGATATTGAATATGTTGAAATGCAAAGGTCAGTGAGTTGCTGTGCTTGGCGGTCAACTATTTTTTAGAGTGCTTCAAATCTTAAGTTTCATTATACAATCATATGTTTAATATTATTGCAGTCATGACGAACGATCTCAAATTGCCTTTGTCACTTTCAAGGACCCACAAGGTGCTGAGACTGCAGTACTACTATCGGTAATATTCCTGACATTGATTATCTGTGGATATATGTGTATCAAATATAGTTATTTACGAATTAGTGAAGTATCTCGAGAAGTTGATCAATTTGTCCTGGATTGTCATCCAAAGCATCATATGTTCATTATATATAGTTCCAGGCTTAGAACTACAGCATTGTTTGTCATTATCCAAAAGGCATCACCTTTGGATGACATATTCAGCTTTTTGGCTAGATAATGCAGTATCAGTGAATCCCGTAGAAAACTGTTATTTATCTGAAGTTCTTGAAGTGCCACACGTTTAGAAACTCTTACTTGGGAGGGTTTCAGAAGTCTGTTTTTGTTGAATGTCTTGCTTTCATCCCTTCCAAAGTATGGATGCTCCTCTGTTGGTGGTATATATGAAGCACGGACACCTTGAACACAACACCGACACCGACACAACAGCACTGGTAATCATTTGAAAAATTGAATAAATTAAACATAATCACAAGTGTAGGTGTAGGTGTCCGACATCGACTCGGACGCGCCTTTTTCAGAGGTGTCGGTGCTACATAATATATCTGTCATTTCTCAAAAGGTGCTTCTCATGTAATCGGTCATACTTGTTGATTAGTCTTCAAAGTTCCCCACTATTTCCATCTCTGCTTTTCACCCAGTCTCCCAACATTCAGTCTCATTATTTTTAGGGTTTGTTTTGTTGATGTGGTCCTTTTAAGATACTTTATTAGGCAATTAGGAATAGGTGTCATTTTTCCTATTCATTTCACATGACCAAGTTAAGTATTATAAAAGAAAAGTGATTTTGGTAATCATTTTGATGCAACTGTTAGTTCAAATTGATCATCTTCTGTTTCATTTTGTCACCAACAAGGGTTTTATTGCTAACCGCCTTCTTATGATATATATTACCTGTTTTGGACTGGTTCAATGACTAGAATTGGCCAAATCCGATTTCACCTTTGGCACGGCCCAATAATATTGGTCCAGCATTACGGTCGACCACGCCCTCGAACGGCCCGACCAACAATGCTCGAAACGCACGCCTGTCCGTGCGGGCAGCTACCTCCCAGACAACCAGGAAGGCGCTCGAAACGCGTTTGCCCGTCGTCTCAACCTTGCTCGACGCAACGATTAGTTACGGACACGACTGTCCATTTTGACCCAGTCCTGACAGTTATCTATTTTTGCAGACCCGCATATCTAGGTTCAAAAATAGGGACCAATGACTACGCGCTGGGGGAACTATATAAATCCTCACACTTGAGAATTTGAATTATATTCTGTTTAGTATTTATATGCATCTAATAATGGAAATTGTGGTCTATATATTTACAAGTCATGTTCTTGTTAGACTTAATTAGTTCAATTATTGCATTAGTTATATCGATTTATTGTTATTAGTTTATAATAATCATTCCTTATTTTATGCGCTTCTTGTTAGACCCATATTAAATGTTTGATTATTCTTTATATGTTGAATTAGTTTTTATTGTACAATACATAATCAATATTCCTTCTATGATACAGGAAAACAAGAAGCAATTATTTTGCCTAATTAGTGATTGTATCTATGAGTTCAACGCTTTTGGATCATGAAGGTGGTTACTACATGGGATTGTTTTGTTATCCTTTCTTATTTTTTTGGTGTTTTGTTTAGAGAATTTGATTGTATGTTTTTGGATTTGGATTGAAGTACTCATAGATGGACATCTACAAATTTGGCTATGCAAACGCCCTCTTAATATTCTATATGTTATGATATTTGGAAACAATAGGATTTGGTAATTTAAAATGTTATTTGGTATTTGATGGATCATAATATATATGCAATGAGTAACTTAAAGCGTTATTTGTGTTGAATTGAATATAGTTATTTTATATTTACACCAAAAAAAATGATTGTGTAAGAAAAAATATTGTACTGTACTTATTAAAAATATCGTACCAAATATGTACCATTTATTAGCACTTTATTTGAAAGCGCTATCAAACATATGTTATATATTAGCGCTTTTTGTTTAGAGTGCTATAAAAAAACAAACAAAAAACATGCAAAATACTGACTTTGATAGCACTTTAATTAAAACGCTTTTATAAATTGGTACTTTAATAGCGCTTTTAAAGTGCTATTAAATAAGAAATATTTACAATAGTGGCGCGGTTAATAGCACTTTTAAGCGCTATCAAAAACAAAAAAAAGCGCTATTAAATAGCTTATTTGGCGTAGTGAATTTCATTTGCCGATAAGCAATAATATTAATTATTTCATGACATGCACAATTTTAAGAGTTGTATTTAATATATGAAAAATGAGAAATAAATAATTCATATACATAATATATTAATGGTTATGTGCATGTAGTCCGTAATAATCTTTGCAATTGAAGGGCATGATCTACAATAGTCATAATTAATTCATGAGAATGAAAGAGAAACAATTGTATATGATTTGCTTATTATTTAAAATTAATTATTTAAATCTTAATTTTAATGATATAGTAGTTGTGTTTCTTTTTTGTGAGTTAATACTGGTAAGACATGAATTTATAAATAAAAAGTAAACTAATCATTTTAGGTTATATATAAAATTAAATTATCAATTAGGAATATCTAAATTGATCTCATATTTGAATATTTTTCCAACTAAATTTCATTATTATAACAACATTTTTCCTCTATAATTAGAGCTGAATTTTAATTTTATATACAACTTTTCAATTTTATAGTAGATGTATGATGATAAAAAAATAATATAATATAAAATATAACTGTTGTTTATAATCTTTTTGACGATAATTATATTTTTATTATAATAATCAAAGAAAATCAATGCTTGAAGAATAGAAAATTTAAGTTGCATTATTGTGACTATATTTTTTTTTATATGGGCTCACATCTTTACTATAATATTGAACGACATAAGATTGATATCAATATTATGATCAATTAAGTCTATGATTCATGGCATGACTTGAGTGGTTTTTATTTTCCACACATATCATTAGTAGACTTTGTGTCGTCAATATGATCCTAAACATATAATTGAAATATTTTGAACTGAAATGTTTAACTTGTTTAATTTTTGTCATTGAATACATCATACTTTACAGTTATGAGGCCGAGAAAATAATAAGTAATAATTTTTTAAATCTTAACTTTAATTATATAGTAGTTGTGTTTTTATTTTTTTAAATTAATACTGATAAGACTTGAATTAATAAATGAAAAGTAAACTAACCATTTTAGGTTAAATTTAAAATTAAATTATCAATTCCGAATATTTATATGGATCTCATATTTGAACATTTTTCCAACTAAATTTCATTATTATCACAACATTTTTCCTCTTGAATTAGAGGAATAAAGCTGAATTTTAATTTTATATCCAACTTTCCAATTTTATAGTAAATGTATCATGATAAAAAAAGAATATAATATAAAATATAAGTGTTGTTTAGAATCTTTTAAACAATAACTATATTTTTATTATAATAATCAAACAAAATACAAACTTGAAGACTGGGAAATTTAAGTTGCATTATTGTTAATATATTTTTTTTATATGGGTTCACATCTTTACTATAATATTAAAGGACATAAGATTGATATTAATATTTGGATCAAATAAGTCTATGGTTCATGGCACAACTTGAATCTTTTTTATTTTCCACACATATCATTAGTAGACTTCTTGTTGTCAACATGAACCTAAACATTTAATTGAAATATTTTAAACTGAAATATTCAACTTGTTTAATTTTTCTCATTGAATACAATTTGTTTTGAGTAAGTTTTGAGTAAGTTCTTGTATTTTGTTTAATTCTTCAAGCTTGAATTTTGTTTGATTATTATAATAAAAATATAGTTATTGTTAAAAAGTTTCTAAACAATACTTATATTTTATATTATATTCTTTTTTTATCATGATACATCTACTATAAAATTGTAAAAGTTGGATATAAAACTAAAATTCAGCTTTATTCCTCTAACTCTACAGGAAAAATGTTTTGATAATAATGAAATTTAATTGAAAAAATGTATAAATATGAGATCAATTTAGATATTCCTAATTGATAATTTAATTTTAAATTTAACCTAAAATAATTAGTTTACTTTTCATTTATAAATTCAAGTCTTATTATTATTAATTCAAAAAATAAAAACACAACAACTCTATCATTAAAATTAAGATTTAAAAAATTAATTTTAAATAACAAGAAAATCATATACAATTGTTTCTTTTTCATTATCATGAATTAATTATGACCATTGTAGATCATTTCCTTCAATTGCAAAGAACATTACGGACTACATGCATATCACCACCCATATATTATGTATATGAATACTTTTTTTTCATTTTCCATGTATTAAATATAACTCCTTAAATTGGGCATGTCATGAAATAATAATAATTATTGTTTATGAACAAATGAAATTATATATGTTAAAAACTAATTTTAAATATTAGATAATTCATACAAAATTGTTTTTCATTCTTTCTCATGAATTAAATATGACTTTTATAATAATAATAATAATAATAATAATAATAATAATAATAATAATAATAATAATAATAATAATAATAATAATAATAATAATAATAATGCATTTCAATAAAAAACACTATTACAATTAAATGTATAATATAACTTTTATAATAATAATAATAATAATAATAATAATAATGCATATAAGATAATCAATAATATACCTGTTAAAATACAAAATGGTTTTAATTATACCTTATTAAATTTGTATATTATATAATTATTATCTATCAAATAACAATTGTTTTAAAATAAATTCATAAAATTTTGTAACATTTCACTATTTTATACACAAAGGACACTTTCAATTTATTTGAGAAACATCATTAACATTAATGATTATTCTGACATTTTATTTCTTTTCTTGTATTGCTTGTTTTTTTACATATATATATAAATATATATATATATATATATATATATATATATATATATATATATATATATATATATATATATATATATATATATATATATATATATATATATATATATATATATATATATATATATATATATATATATATATATATATATATATATATATATATATATATATATATATATATATATATATATATATATATATATATATATATATATATATATATATATATATATATATATATATATATATCTTTGTTTTCTAAGAAAATGAATTCTCTTGAAATATCTTTACATTCTTAATTTAACTATAACTAAAAATATATCAAATGCATCAATATTAATATTTATGGAAACTCTTTATTAACTAAAAAATATGAAGATATGAATTTTGAAATCTTGTCTTGATTTAATAAAAACTCATTTAAATATTTCTCTGTTGTTTAAATATAAAATTTTATTTAAATATAAAAGATTGTGTAAACTTATTTAAAACAAACATTTCCCTTATACCTATTCTCCACCTCTTTCATTTGGATGAGTTTTTAGTTTTATCGTCTAATTTGTTTTTGTAATCTCATCCTTGGTTTAAATATAGTTTTTTACATCTCACTTTAGAAGTTAGATGATGTGATAGGAAAAAAAGAATAAGCCGTCTCAAATGACATTCATAAAAGAAAAAGAAATCCACCAAAATGAAAATGGTGTAATACAAATGGCATAAAAGCTATAAAATACTGAATTTATAATTGTTAAAAAAATAAAATAAAAACAAAGAAACAATCAAAACTCGCACTATGGAAGAAACAAAACAAAACAAAACAACTATGGATGAAACTCGCACTCAATTTCTGAGAGCAACTGCTTCTTCTCAAAAGAATACAAAAGAACTTATTTAAGAGCTCATAACTCACATTGGAAATTTGGTGAACAAAATAGTAGATAAGAAAAAAGAACAATGCAAGATTGTCATTACCAGAAGTGGTAGAGGTAGTAACACAAGAAGAAAAAAGAGAGAAAGAATAAAAAAAAAAAAAAAAAAGAGGAGAAGAAAATGAGTAGAAAAAGAAGAAAAGATAGAAAATAAAAAAGAAGAAAAAGAAAAAAATAGAAATATTTCTAGTAAACAATTTACCTAACCCTCGTAATCTAACAAGAAAGAATAAGGAAAGACAATATGCAAGGTTTCTTGAGCTTTTTAAACAGGTGTGGATAAACATTCCATTCTCAAAATCCTTGGAGCAGGTGCCTATTTATGCAAAATTCAAGAAATACATCCTCACAAAAAA